TTATATGGTAATAAAATGAGATTTTTTATTGATAAATTTAAATTTATTACAAGCAAATTTTGTTGGCAAAGAGAAAATCAAATTCAGTAATATCAATATTTCAAAGGTAAGAAAAAATAATGTCAGCCTTTTTATTTTACCTATAACGATAGTTGCATCACAAATTTAATATATGGCAATTTTTTGGCAATTTCTCTATTGGTAATACCGGTAAATTAACCAAAACTCCCAAAATTTGAATTGGCATAACTTAAAAAATATTGAACCTAGTCAAATTATAATTTACTTTATTAAGTTTAGGAAACATATTGTAAACTAAAAGTGTTAATTTATAAACAAAATAGTATAATAATAAACTTGAAACTAACAAATATTAATTAAAGAATTTAGACTATTTATCCACCACTTTCAACTTGCGCCCAAAATGATGTCCTATAAACAAATACTGACATAAAATTTAAATTGTTTCTGTGAATCTCTCAACCAAAAGAATTTTCCGCCTCGATATATAAGGAGACGACCACTTGATATCTCCCATAAAATTACACCGATGCTGTAAACATCACTCTTAAACTATCAATATAAGGGGATTAAAGTTATGATTATTTTGCGCTTCTATATTACTAGACATATAGATTATTTTGCGCTTCTATATGTCTAGGTTTATTTTGCGCTTCTATGTTCTCTAAACTATTAACAATTATATGCCCATAGAATGTTGTCGAAATAATGCAGTGTCATCTGTATGCTGTGGAAGATCACTGTCTCCATTCCATTATGAATCCTTGTTGAAGGATCCCAAGGTATTGGATGAATTACCGGCTTTTGATGGGTTACTGCAGACACGTTCTTGATGCATCCAAACACCAAATTCTTATGGCATAGGTTTATAATTCTTTGAGATGAAAATCTATTTTTTTTAAAAGGAAAATAAAATAAAATTTGTTAGATATAAATCCTAATGAAATTTTTTTTTTATTTTTACGAGTATATCAAAAGTAGAAAAGTACTTTCGCTTCATAAAAGCAAGCAAGTTGATAATCCAATCAAAAACAAGTACTCTTCTAGACTCAATATATACCGTTTGGTAATAAATATTCAAAATTAAATGAAAACTTACTCATTTTCAATCATTGTTAAAGTTACGGTATATTATTTATTAAATTAAATAGCACTTGCAGCAGAATTTAAAGAGTTGAAAGTTAAAAGAGTAAGAAAAGGAGATTTTGTAAGGTAAAAAGAATAACAAAAAAAAAAATTCTGTGGGAACAATTTATAAATCGGTATAGAATAAAAAAAAGATTATCCGATCTGACTAAAAAATTGTCATACAACTGTTATCTGATTATCATCGATAAGTTAATTATTCTCCGAGTCTCAAAAAATTGAGTTTTTATGAAAAAGAATTATAAAAAATGAAAATGGCGAGAATTCTTTGCAGGAAAAAAATTTAAAATGTAAATTCACGTATAAACGTCGAATCCTCTGGTCAAAATAGGAAGTCTTAGAAAAATAATTCGGCAGTAGTGAAAAAAAAAAGGTATAATAAAAAAATTTTTTTCTAGTTCTTTTTAACGTTCGTGAA